CTCTCAAATAGTATTTCTCACCTGCTACGGGATGCACAAAGAACACACGCCCAACCGCAAACCCCTCTTCCGTGGTGACCACTCCCTTTTCTTTTAATTCTATGTGAACTTAGATGGAAAGTCAACGCATGCCAACTCCCTGGCCTCCTGATAAATTTGATTTGCTCTCATCCAAGCTATAAACTTCGTAGAGTGAAGAGTGGTGTTACTGAGTACCGACTCAATGGATGCATCAGGTTTGTAGTATACATTTTGCTCTCCTGGCAGATGAAAGCTTAACCGCTCAACCAGAACATCCCTACAATGGATATGGTATGAAAAAATTCTCCATGCAGCTCACAAGCGGAGATGTATCGACACTCATAGCACATCTTGATCTCATTGATCTTTTGTGGTTTGGTGCTGTCAGTAACTTCTGAAAATGCAACAGTTATCCAATCATCGCCTTTATATACTTGAAAAGATACTTGAAAGTATATCAAGTCTATCATCAGGACTCAGTCCTCTTGGTTCCACAAAACGGAGAATTTCTGGCCATTTTCATTTACATGTGAATGTCATAAACAATTGTGGATATTCAACCCATATGCATATAGCCATAGCATCTTGATAATTCTGCAGCATGTAACGTGCACTCCCAGTAAATGAATTCGCAAGAACAATGAGTTGACCTGTCCTTGATGCATTTGTCTCTCCTCGTCCACTATACAGATCACTCCGCAACTCCTTTTGATGTTGTCTAATATACCGCAAGCGACACGACTCAATCATCGCATAACCGTCAACCACAAGTTGTTGGAACAATCTCTTTGTTCACAATATATATGGGGTCCCAACCATGCGATCCTGAAATATATATGAAAAGTACTCTCTCATAGTAGCATGCTTTCTCCCTCCAGTGATCCCTTCAGTTGCACAGGTCAACACCACGTTTTCTCTCAAACCGTCCTGACCATAAGGAAAGAGAAGCAGATACTGCAACCCTAGATAAGCTGGATTTAATTCAGAGATGCACGGGAAAGACATATTTGCGGAGGACTTTGTCTGTGGCAATTAGATCACGAGGAGAAATAGTTTTGAATGTGGCATCCAGCGGAATTGCGTCACTCCTTCTGCCCGGAGAAAGGACCACACTCGAGGTTTGCTATTCCACTTAATATGACAATGGACTCAACGTGAAACATAAAACACGTTAATCCCTTGGCTAGACTTCTTGAACAGACAAGACTAATTATTTGGGATGAGTCCCTAATGACGCATAAGCAATGTTTTGAAGCTCTAGAACACACTATGAGAGATGTCCTTCGCTTCTCGCCGGAGTGTGATGTTGTTGTGCCTTTCGGTGGAAAAACTATTGTATTGGCGGGGACTTCCGACAGATATTGCTGATCATTCCAAAAGGCACGAGGTAAGATATTGTCCAAACATCTTTAAATTCATCGTATTTGTGGTCATATTGTAGGGTGTTGAAACTGACAAGGAACACGAGGCTTGCACACATGACATAATCATCCAGCGCAACAGACATAGAGAGCTTTGGAGATTAAATTTTGAAGATAGGCGATGATATTTTGGGAGACAATGAGGATAGGGATCAAAACTCCACATACCTGCCGAATTTCTTGCTCCGATGATAGATGATCCCGTTGAGTCTATTGTTAATATAGTATCCAGATTTCTTGACTCGTAGGGAAGACATATTTGAACTCTAGGCCATTCTTGCGCCTACGATTGATGAGCGAGACAAGATCAATGATTACATGTTGGGGCTCATTCTAGGCGAGGGAAGAACATACTTAAGTTGCGATTCAGCATCTTCCTCCGACTCAGACAACGAGCTCCTTCAAGACATGAACTCAAGCTTAAGGTGGGTGTGCCTGTGATGCTTATGAGAAACATGGATCACATTGTTGGGTTATGCAATGGTACGAGACTCATGGTAACTAAAATCGGGACTCATATTATTGAGACTCAAATGATGTCTGGATCAAAAGCCGGTGAAAAGTATCTTATTCCCCGTCTTAGTTAAATGCATACGGACTTGAAGCTCCCTTTCACGTTTCAGCGCAGACAATTTCCTCTTATGGTTTGTTATGCGATGAAGATTAATAAGAGTTAAGGACAATCGTTAGAAAGGGTTGGTGTATTCTTGTGGCGTTCGATTTTTACTCAAAGACAATTATATGTTGCGGTATCGAGAGTTACAAGTCCACCAGGGTTAAAATTTGTCATATGTGATGATGATGGTCAACCAAGCAATATTGATATAAATGTTGTTTACAAAGAAATGTATAACAATTTATAGGTTTTTTCATATGTCATTCCTTAGATGTTAAATTCTATACTTCAAATGTTTAAATTATAGTTCTATTTACATTCTCAATGAAATGTTTTCCCGTGCAACGCACGGGTTATAATTAAGTAAAAATGCCTCATGTACCCCCATCAAATGCATGTCTGAAGTATGGGCATGCATTATCAAGATCGTTCTACATGTCCCGTCAAATTGAAAACAGTAATGTATCAATGTATTGCTTTTGGTGTAGAGCACTTTTAGAGTTTTATATATAGAGTATTAATGAATAGATTAATAGATTTGGGGAATTTGTACTCCAACAATTTTATTATTTTTGACTTCTTTATTTGATCTTTATTGATATTTCTCTTGACGTTGACAATTTTGAGCGGAATGCAACCCCCAAAACATTTTACTTTTAGATTATAATAGATTTACCTGTAAGAGCCATTTGGTAGCATGAAAATTGGTTGTTTTGGCTTATTCTGCTGAAATTTATTAAGTTCTGGCTGAAGTGGCTGCATTGGCTGATTCTGCTGATTTAAGAAAAAATTATTTTTAAAATATATTTTATTAATAAAATAAAGAAAAAATTATATGTAAAAATAGTTAAAATGGTGATCTACAGTAACTTCAGCCAATACAGTCAAAAAGTAACTCCAACCTTACTTTTTCTGTTTATTACACAATTCAACACACGAAAGCAAAAATTACGTGTTTGATGAAAAGGTTGGCTGATAAGCCTGATAAGCTGAAAACGGTGTTGCCACTTGCCAAACGGCCTCGTAGAATACTAACCTTCTCTGGCCACACAACTTGAAACATAAACTTGTTTTTATTAAAATATATATTATCATTACCATATCCATATAACCAACCAATATTTCGTTTACTAGCATTGCCAATTTCCAAATGGAGAGAAAACTTTATCATGGACTCAAATCCACGATTGATTTGCTAAACTTTATTATGCATTGTATCCATATAGTGTATATGTTAATTTTATGGTTATTCACTCTATTGTTTAAAAACTTAGCCGGTGCTTCCACTATGACCTTTAGACCCGTTTTATTACTTAACATAGGGGAAAATTTGTGGGCCGAACCAAGTCCTTTTTCTCAAAGATGAAAGTTTCAATACACTCCAATTCAATTCGAAAGGAATCTCTCTTTTTGGTTTAGAAAATTTAACCCATAAATTTATTCAAGGGAAACAGATTCTTTTGGATTTGTATTGTTTCTTGCCTGAAGTTTTTGAGTTGAACAAGCTTAACTATTCTAGATATAAAGCAAGGTAATTAAAGATAAAGACAAAAATAAAGTATGAGGAGAGATATTACCAAGTATGATTTTCTTTTAGAGGTAAAGGGAGAATGAGAGCTCACGATCAGAGTTTTTTTCAGCATCACAAAAAAACTATATCAATCAATTGAAAAGTTTGAAAATTATTGCCTCGAATGAAGAAAGGACAAAGGAGAAATAAATTGGGAGTACGAATCTTACTGTTCACAAAATCACATATGAAGATGGATTCACTTGGAGGCTCAAGAGCTTTTTCGGGGATTGTTGAGGGACGAGTTTTTTTAAAGGTAAGTCTTTTATGATCGACTTAAGGAGACCGGGGTCCCCCCCCCCCTTATTTACTCTGCCCTGTGCCTAACCACTATTTTGAAAATGCCCCAGCTTACGATTTTTCAATGGCTTGATTAATGCCCCATCAAATTAATCTAGATAACATCCAACAGTAAACTATGAGTAGGCAAAGTTGATCCAATAGTATTTTCCCGATTGCCATTCCCATTCATTGCTCTGCATCTGAAGTAGTCGGAAGGGAAATTCGAGGGTCTCCGTGGTCTATTATGCCAGTGATTAATCCATGTTGCAAGAGCTCCAATTCGATCACTGAAGAAGCGGTTGACATATTAAATATACCCTACCGGACAGTGAGGAATCCCATGCGCTGGTACTCCCACTCTTGACAAAAATATACCAGAAAATATTCTGCCTGCATTGGATTTCTGTGGGAAAGTGTACTTCTTCAAGGGAAAATCCTTAAATATAAAAACCTTTTTATTTACAAGACCAACCTTACAAGTGACTAAAGTTATGAGACTAATAATGAAAATATCCAAAAGTTACAGGATTAAATTTGCAAATCTCCCTTTTAGCTCTATAAATCTAAAGACTAACACATCATACTAGAATTAATGCTCAATGATTAAGAAACAAAATTTATACTCTAGAAGTTATTAGTTCAATTAAGGTGGGTTCAGCCGATGGTTGCTCTAGAGAATTGACAAAGACGATTCAAGAAACGAATAGATAAATCTCTCAAAAGACGCTTTTCATGTTCAGGGCCCAATTCACTTTATTTACTCACATTAATGCTATACCAAATAAACCCAAGAGTACTTCCTAGATTTATGTGATATTTATTATCTCAAATCGTTGTAATGGAATTCTCATTATATTTTGAGAAAATACCCTTTCTCTTTTTAGGTGATGGTGTAATCCCCTCACATTTTATACTTCATTTTCAAGGTTAATAAAATACGGAAAATGTTTCTGATATTTACCTCACCAATTTTAGAAAAAACTGAAACTAAATCAAATTAAATCAAACAATGACAATTTAGTTCAATTTTGACATTCAATTCAATATTTATCTTTTTTTATCTTTTGGGATTCAGATTTCGTTGTTTGTTCCCGGGCCCTAATTCCCTGACCCCCGTTTACATTTCCCCAACCCTAAATCATATCACTTCTCTCCCGGCACTTCCCATCTTTAATTTCCGGTTCTCCACCATAGCCCATTCCCGAACCCCCTTCCCCAAGAATTCTGTAGTGATTCAGTCATCCCGCAGTACTAAACGGAGAGTCGTCTGGACTGTGCGGCGACACTTGCGACTTTAGCAGCAGCAACTCTAATCGCTGGTTCAGTTTTTCATTCGCTTCCGTCTATGCATCCCCGGCGACGGACGCTATTCCGACGTGCGCACATATCTCAACGGTAAGAACACTAAACCTCTGCTACACAGATCCATGTTTAGGATGAAGTGTATTATGTAGAAAATTATCTACCCCATTTTCACAACGGTTCATCTACTAGATCTGTAATTTGTAATTATATCATTTTAGACGTTTTTGCTGTTCTCGTTGGATGTTTATAGCTCATGTGTATTTCGATCGCAAGAGTGTTGTGTAGATCAGTAAGGAGTCGTCTTTTGAAAAATGAAGTGACGAACGAAGTTTCCAAAACAACTGTAAAGTTTTACAATGTAACCTGCACGATATCCATTTTATTCGGCAGAAGTAAAAAATTCCCCCCAAAACTTGTCCACTTTCTAGTACACACACTACTACAGGTTACACACTCAAACAAACCTCTTTATGTGTAATTATATTAATTTTTTTGTTTAGTTGAATTAAAACATTATATTTTATATACTGTGTAATATGGTATGATTTACCACTTTGGATGCATTGACTCGTGTCTTGCTGTTCTTTTAATTTCCTATGTGTGCTTATCAATATTCCTTACTTCTCCGTGTCTCAATTTATTTCTAGTTGCTTGTTAGAATGTGATTTCTAGGCATTTATTGTCATGCTGTTCCAATCATTTTACTATTTATAAATCTTCTTGATCAGTTGCGCTTTCCAATTACACCATCCTACTGCATTATAGGTAATTGCACATTGAAAAGGCTCCTGAAGTATCTAAAATCCTTTCAGAAGAAAAGTGAAGAAAACTTGCTGCTCCACCAGGGAAAAGTTCTGCATGCCTTCTTGACATTTCTGCAATGTCAGGGTTGCTTAATGTATTGTTCCTTCTAGATTGCTATATCTATGCAGTGTCGTATCATTAGGGTTGCTTTTCCTTGCCATTTTCCGAATGCAAATAAATAAAGATTATAATAAAGATTATAAATAAATCTACGCACTTAATATAAGGGTGGTCATAAGGGTGGTTATTAGTACAGCTTCGCATTGTTAAACTGTAGTTCAATTAATGAAATGGTTATATAATCTTATTCTTAGATTGTAGTGTACATTTATCTCTTGAATCCTGGGCAAGAAGGCCTAGTTTGTCTGTCCCTTCACATATTCGGAAACAGATTACGTCATATTAGAACGAGCTGTTTATAGAACTTTTGGTGTCATTTTCAAAGATGTGAATTGTAATGACTCATACTAAATTATAATTTTTAAAAATCTGATTGTAATTGACTTTAGTCAAGCCTTGTAACCCAAAATGTCCCTTATAATTTGGAAAGTGTGAGGATGAGCATTACCAGGAATATTTGTGATATAACTGAGACACATTTTTTTAATTCTACATGCAGTAAAGTTTATATCCATTTATTTCCCTTGATGGTGAGAAGACAATTTATTTGATTTCATACAATATTGGCTTGAAGTTTGACTTATTTTACTTTGTTGTAGTCATCTTTGAACGGATCAACTTCAAACCTCTCGGACAATTCTGGTCGCTCTTATACGTCATTCTCTGGTCAGTCTGGTGCAGCATCCCCTGCTTATCATCATTCGGGTCAGTTAATTGCTGGATTATGTTCTTTTCAATGCTTTTTAAAGCCAGTAAGTAGTGATTTTCTTTTACAGGAAGTGTGCAGGGGCTGCACAATATTCATGGGAGTTTCAACCTTCCCAGCATGCAAGGTACACTTGGATCAAGGAGCACTGGCATAAACATCCCTTCAAGCAATGTACAGCAGTCTGGGAACAATCTTTCTAGTGGCCGTTTTACATCAAACAATCTCCCAGTTGGCCTTTCACAACAGGTATTTTTTCGTATCGACCTGGAGGTTGTTTAAAGCATCAGAGTGAATGTGCTTAAACTTGTCAAAATAAGTGGCCATTTGGTATGGCTGAATCTGTTGATATTTCTGAAAAGAAAAGCTTTTAGTGAAATGGCTTCCAGCCAAATAAGTTAAAGGCCTACTTATTTGGCTTATTATTGGTATTTTGTTAATAAGCAGAATATGCCAATTTAGTGTTAATTAATGTGGCAGTTCTGTTCAGCTCTTTACTATAATTTTATGAGATGGGAAGATATTGTTATGGATGATACTTTGCTTAGTCTCAGAAAGCATTTTAATGCTGGTTTCTGAAATATGTACTGCTAAAGGTTCCTTATTTTCCTTTTGTCACTGGTGTGCAGATATCTCATGGAACTTCACATGCTCATACAGGGATGACAAACAGAGGTGGTTTGAGTGTTGTGAGTAACACAGGGTATAACAGTAACACAAATGGAGTTGGTGGTTCCATTCCTGGAATCCTTCCAACCTCAGCTGCTATTGGTAATCGAACTTCTGTTCCCGGAATTGGTGTATCCCCAGTGCCTAGGATGACAAGCTCAGTTGGAAACATAGTTGGTGGGGGTAATATGGGAAGAAATATTAGCTCTGGTGTACTGTCAGTGCCAGGGATTGGTTCTCGTTTGAATTTGAGTGCCAGTAGTGGTTCTGGAAATTTGAACATTCAAGGACAGAATAGGCTCATGAGTGGCTCTCTTCAACAAGGTAAATATCTGAAAATGATTTTGTCATGGCAATTCAAGCGAGCCATATCTATATTCCCTTGTGGTAGTTTATAAATGGCAATACAGACATTTCTCAAGCCACTCAGGGTCCATTTAGGCCTCAGAGATTATTTCATATACAAAATAGGGAAGATAACTTAGATGAAAATGGAAGGAAAGAGAACGTATTTGAAAGTTAATGACATCCTAAGCTCAATAATTTTTAAATATTTGTTAATATTCATCTTTTTAATTTGAAAGTAATAAAGTATGTAGACCCCAAATCCAAATATTTGGAAAAGACTTGTGCAATTACTCATATCCGTTTGCCTCCACATAAGAGAACGGCTTTCCTTGGAACAGTAACCTTTGGCATTTTCACTAGGTTTTTAACAGCTACCTATATTGTTTCAATGGTTGCTTGATTATTTAGGTTGTGTTGACATGTATTTTCTGTGATGCTACAACTTTGATAGCTATATGCAATGTGCTGTGACACAATTTCTCTTTGTGGCTGGTTCATCGTTAATGCTAACAAAGGTAGCATTTTTCTCCACAGCTTCTCCACAGGTGATGTCCATGTTAGGAAACTCGTACCCTTCTGCTGGTGGCCCACTTTCTCAAAATCATATGCAAGCAGTCAACAATCTTAATTCTATGGGAATGTTAAATGATATAAATTCAAATGACGGTGCCCCTTTTGATATCAATGACTTCCCTCAACTATCCAGCCGTCCTAGTTCTGCTGGAGGTCCGCAAGGACAAATAGGTAGTTGCCTTTTTTAGTTTTTGCTTTTCCTTGACATGAAATTTAGGCAATTTCCTGGTGTACATCTGGTTCAAGTTTCTGTATCAACAATATTCTTTTCAATTCCTAATCTTGTGTTTGGGATGATCACTTCCAGGTTCATTGCGAAAACAAGGCCTTGGTCCAATTGTTCAGCAAAATCAAGAGTTCAGCATTCAAAATGAAGATTTTCCAGCTTTACCAGGATTTAAGGGTGTGTGCTATTTATTTATTATTCCATTCATGGATTCTCTTAGTATGTTAACACAGATTTTGATATGTGAACTTTCCAAGTTTATACATTGTTGAATTTTACACTATTCACATGCTACTTTGACTACATTTTATTTATGATGTATTATAAATTTAATTTTTGAAAAATCTTGTAAAATTCGTTTCATTTTAAATTTTCAGAATCTGAATTTTGTAATATTTTTACTAATAAGGAATGAAATATATCAATGGCCAAACTTGTGCACTGGCAAACTTGAAAATTGGAACGTTGCAACTAGAAAAGAATGGAGGATGTATATTAACAATAGTTTGAAAAATAAAAAATTCAGATTCTGAAAATTTAAAATGAAAGGAATTTAACATTTTTTTCAAAAATATGTTGATATGTGAAGCGTCCAAATTTATACATTGTTGAATTTTACACTATTCACATGCTCTACACTGACTCCTTTTTATTTATTAATGTATTGTAAATTTATTTTTTTGAAAAATATTGTTAAATTCCTTTTATTTGAAAATTTCAGAATCTGAATTTTGTAATCTTTTTACTAGTAAGGGATGAAATATATCAATTGTCAAACTTGTGCGTTGGAAAACGTTAAAATTGGAACTTTGCAACTAGAAAAGAATGTATGAAGTATATTTTAATGGCTACGTTTCAGTTATGTGGTATCTAAATTTTGCCACTTCTGCGTGCTGTATATCTTTTTTTGGGGACGGGAGGGGGGATTTTGTTTCTAGATTTACTCCCAATTTCTTCCATTCCTTGATCTATGCAAAAATGTGCTGGGAGATAGTTAGAATCACCCAATTTGACTTCACAGGGATTTAAAGAAAATCAAAACCAAATACAAACTCGGTGCTGATTTTTTTTAACAAAAAACAATTTCAAACATTAGGCAAAATATTACTACCAAAATTAACAGAAAGAGGGTGGATTGAAAGGGGCACAGAGAGTGGTTTTCTAAAAAAGTTAACTGTATTATTGATTATGGATTTTCAGGTGGTATTACTGATTATGCTATAGATCTACACCAATAAGAACAACTTCATGAAAATTCTGTCATGAAGTGGGTAGATTAAAAGGGGCGGAGGGAGTGGTATTTAAAAAAGTTAACTGTATTATTGACTATGGATTTCTCAGGTGGTAATACTGATTATGCTATGGATCTACACCAAAAAGAACAACTTCATGACAATTCTGTGCCTATGATGCAACAACATTTTTCTGTGAGTGCAATATATCGGATTTTGTTTTCATCCTTGTTAGTTTTAAACTGCATCTTTATTATATCTGCTTTCATGACGAGTGGTTAAAAAATTTGTAGATGGGAAGATCCGGTAGTTTTAACTTAGGAGGAACATATTCATCACATCGCCCACAGCAGCATTCATCAGTAGTGAGCAGTAGTGGTTTGTCATTTCCAAACGTGAACAATCAAGATCTACTCCACTCACACGGCTCAGATGTCTTTCAACCATCACACTCAACGTATCACCAGCAGGTGCACACCACATTTCCCCTCTTATAGGGTTTGTTTGTGTTGATTGTTTTTTGTGGGAAAAGCTGTTGAGGGCTTAGTCTATGTTCCATCTTTCCCAAAAAAAAGTTGCAAAACTTTTGGGCACATAGATTAATAAAATGGGACAAAAATCTAAATTACCCAAACAACAACATCAAAGCCTTAATCCCAAAAATCTAAACTACCCCAGTAGCACAAAAAAATGAGTGAAGTTGGAATGGTAAAATTGTAGTTTTAAGTAAAAAGATGGGTTATTTATGAACTGCATGTAGCATTATTTGCTAAAAAGGAAGCATAACTTTTATTTGGGGACAGCCCAAAAGGGAAGGATCAGTGATGTTAATCGCGGCGCTTTCGCGCGCGATAGCGGAAGTGCGGAGCGGATGGCCAGGCTGGCGCTACCAGATGACATGTAGCGTCGCGTTTGGGTGTAGCGGACTTAGCGGGCGCTATAGCGGAGGTGCGGAGAAGGTAGTGGCGGCCGCTATAGCGCCGAGTTTTTAGCGCAGGTGTTTTCCGCTAAATTTTTGCGAGAATTTTTTTTGCGCAGGTTTTCTGAGTTCAGCGCAGAGGGTTTTTTGAGGTATAGGGTTTTTTCAGTTAGCTTTTTTGAGTTAAATTTTGTAGGGCAGAGGTAGAAGGGGTAAACTGGACTTTTAAAACAAAATATTAACCAATATAAAACCCTTTATACGTACATAAAAGCTCAAAACGACTCCAGCTTTTGACAATACTACGTTTCTACTCTGTGATGGCTTCTTCTCCAAGAACGACACATGCTGCTCCCTCTTCCTTCACTCTTCTCAGTAGTATCTTCTACTGCAACATTTTCTTCTCCAACCTTTGCTGCAGACCTGCAGTGAGTCTTCTTTTCTTCTTCTTGTATGGTGTCTAGTCAGTCTACTATCATGTTTAAGCCCATAGGAGAACACCTTGACCCAGCTTGGAAGTGGAACAGCTTGAATGATGCAAACGATGAGATAGAGTTGGAAGAACAAGAAGAATTTAATGAGGAGGGGTGGTGAATGAAGAATTCAAAGGGCTTGCAAGTAGGATCTATTTTTTTGACTGTTAATATATCAAGGCTTAAACTTTTAAACTAGAACCTTGTTTTTAATTCAATGTTTTGACTTAAAATGTTTTAATCATTTATAGCATCTTATGTTTTGCTCATGAAACTAAAGAGTATTACTAAGTAACTTAGGATTTATGAATGTTAAGATGTTTGAATTCAATATTTGTATGCAATGTATTATATATGCTTCTAGTAGTTACTTATCTATTATATTTGAAAGTAGCCTAAATAGCGGTCATCCCGCTATCCGCTATACCGCTATAGCGTTTTGGGGGCTGGCCGCTCCGCTCCGCTATCTGGGATTGACAACACTGGGAAGGATGCAACTTTTTTTGGGACGAAGGGATTATATTTTGCTACGTATATGATATGTCTGCTTATTCCACTCATTTTCATTTTTTAGTAATCCCAAATATATACTGACGTATAAGCAAAACCATCAAAACCCTCCATCCGAATAGATCCTTGATATGTATGCTTGTTGTGCTCATTTTTTTGTTGATAATGCACGTTGCATTTTTTGATATACATCTACTTTGTGGGGTTTTTCAGGCGGTTGTGTCCTCTGGCCTAGGATTGCGACCTCTTAACTCCCCAAATTCTGCCTCTGGTATTGGGTCTTCATATGAGCAGCTAATCCAGCAATATCAGCAGCAGAGTCAACCCCACCAATACCGAATGCAACAGATGTCTGCTGCAGGTCAGCCCTATAGGGGTGACCAGGGCATGAAACCCTTAGTTGCTCCAGATCCATATGGCTTGCTTGGTTTGTTAAGTGTGATAAGAATGAGTGATCCCAACCTCACTTCCCTTGCACTTGGGATTGATCTAACCACACTCGGGTTGAACTTGAACTCAGCTGATAATCTGCACAAAACATTTGGTTCACCATGGTCGGATGAGCCCACCAAGGGTGACCCGGAGTTCAATGTCCCTCAATGTTATTACGCCAAACAACCACCACCACTAAATGTTAGCTCTCTTTATCTATTTCTCGTACAACTCTTGTTTCTTTCAACCCTTTCCCCTTATAATATGTTTCCTGTTTTATTGTTGTTGGATGCAGCAAGCATACTTCACAAAGTTTCAGCTGGATACGTTATTCTATATATTTTATAGGCAAGTTTCTGTATAAAAATATTAAACTAGTCCCCCCGTCCAGAAACAGAGCGAGTGCTGCTTCAGTTTTTTGTTATTCTCTGTAAATGTTACAAACAAGTTCAATATGATAAATTTAGCTAAATCATGAAGAGAATTTTAAATATAAGTAGAATCCTCTAAATTTTAAATGTACATTGATAGAAGTCATAGAACATTAAATAGTACCTAAACAAACATGATGGGACAAAGGGACCTCAACATATTTCTCCTAGCTTAAAATCAGTACGTAGTATTAGTTAACAAAGATATCTTATTGTTGTTGCAGTATGCCAAAAGATGAGGCACAGCTATATGCGGCCAATGAATTGTATGTTTTCTCTTAGTAATCTCAATTCATTCATTTTCTGTTGCAAGAGTGTTTCATTTTATGACTTCCGTTTTTTGTAGGTACAACCGAAACTGGTTTTATCATAGGGAGCATCGGTTGTGGTTTATGAGATTTAGTAACGTGGAGCTTCTTGTTAAGACTGCTACATATGAGAGAGGTTCATATATTTGTTTTGACCCCAACACATGGGAAACCGTCCGTAAGGTATTTTTTGTAGTTCCAACTATTTTCTTCAGTAGAGAGTACTATATACTCAAAATCCTGAAGGCTGTTATTGCATTTTTCCAAACAAATTGATGCAGGATAATTTTGTGCTGCATTACGAAATGGTGGAAAAGAGACCACCACTTCCTCAACATTAGCCTTCCGATGTACTTGGGTGTAAATAATGTAACCGGGTAGTGTTTTTACCTGTAGTCGTCAAGTTTATCCAATTTTAAAAGGGATTAATATTTTTACCATCATTCTAATTTGGATTTCAATGTAGATGCTGTATCCGTTATTTGATACTCTCAACTGTTACTAGTCTAACAATATGATTACAGAAATTAGCACAGCGTTTTCATACGCTTTAGTATCCTCACCATTTGTTCTCATTGCAATGAAAATCCTGCACGTGCCCTATTAATCCTCAACCTAATCATTAGACAAGTCTTGGATTCTAATGAGTATCTAGTTAAACCAAGATTACTCGCATTCTTGAAAGAATAAAAACTAATCAAATTTTTGCCCTTCCAAAATATAATCCTAAGCATGATCACCCAATTACACATTGTCCCTAGGGATGGACCGGTTCCGGGCCGACCGGCCTGTGGCCTGGTCTGGCACTGTTTGAAATCGGCCCGGCCCGGCGAATGGGCCCTGGACTGGGCTGGGCTGACCTGAACGGGTGTTACTAAGAGCGGGCTTGGTTCATGGAAAATAGGAACTGGTCTTGGCCTTTTTTTTCAAGTTTTTTTTTTGTTTTTCCCGGGTTGAGCGGGGTGTTTTTTTTTGGGGGGGGGGGGGGGGGGTCGGGGGTTAATTAGAAAAGCAAAGGCAAAAAAAATTGAATTGTCTCGGCCTGGCCCGGAACTGGTCCACCCCTGGTTGTCCACTTGTCCCCAAATTGGTGGTGTTTATGGTTGTCCTAATTTGTCCCTATGATGTAGGGCTGGACTCGGGCTGGGGCCGCTGGGCGGCCGGACCCGGAACCGGCCCGGCCCGGCCCGCCCACTGTAGCAACTGGCCCGGCCTGGTGACCCGGTCCACCGGTGGTTCGGGTCGAACCGGCCCGGTGAATACCGGTTCCGGGCCCGGGCCCTCCATTTGGGGAATTGGCCCGGCCGGTTCGGGCCCGGTCCGGACTGGAATTAATTTGAGGTGGTTTGGGGTGGTTTGGGGTTGAGGGGGAGGGGTAGGGGGTTAAATAAGAGAAGCCAAAAAATAAAAAAAAAAAAAAAATAGGGCGGGTGAACCGGCCGGAAACGGCCCGGTCTGGCCCTGAACCGGCCCAGAACCGGTCACCGCCGGTTCGGGTCCGGGCCCTCCTTTTGGTGAACCGAGACCCGGCCTGTTCAAGGCCCGAACCGGGCCCGGCCCGGCCCGAGTCCAGCCCTACTGTGATGGTTGCCTCAAAATGTTCTAACTTCTAACCATGCTCCTTCAAAATGTACAATTAGGCATTTTGAAAAATGGAGGACCGGGACCTATAATTCCGGTTCCCGGTTGGTTCTGGTCCCAACCGTTCCAGTCTGGTCTTGGCCTTTTTAATTTTTAATACACTTTTACATACTCTATTGCAGTATTGCCCCTTTAACTTCCATTAAACCTTGGGCCTCAGCTAATCTGGATATTTTAGCCTGAATTTCAGAAATTTCATTTGAATCATAATTATAATATTATATAGTAACACTTATTTTAAACTTTAGATTCGGATAATTAGTGAATGAACAATATTATTAGGCTTAATTACTGGATTGGGAGTATGTCAGGATTTGGAAAGGATGTGCATGTAGTCATGGACCCGGGCCGGGCCCGCCGGGCTTTTTTTTTGGAAGGCCCGGGACCGGCCCGGGTAGCCACCGGGTCCGGGTCCGGGCTGGGCCTCCGGTTTGGTTAATTTTTCTTTTATTTTTTTTGCTTTCCTAACCCCCCCTCACCCCCCCCCCCCCAAAACCCCCAAACCCCTCCTAACCATCAAGCCCAACCCGGGTCTACCCCAAAAATGAAAAAAAAAAAATTCAATTAGGCCCGGACCCGGGCCCGACCCGGCCGGGCCGGTTCGCCAAATACAAGGCCCGAGCCCGGACCCGAGAACCGGGCCGGTTCCGGTCCCGCACAGTGGCGGGCCGGTTCCGGTCCCGCACAGTGGCGGGCCGGGCCGGTCCCTGGCCGGGCGGCCCGAACCAAGTCCATGCCTATGTGCATGCACCATTCATTGTATCAACACCATAGATGACAAATTGAAATTTGAAATGCGTTTGTTGAATCTTCCATTTGTTTATGAAATAATTACACATCTTTTCTTTTTGGGGAAAATAAGTAATATACTTTGGCGTGCCAAACAGAGCCTTAGTCAATTGTAGTGTTGCCAAATGAGCTCTAGAAATTTCTCTAGGTGGTTTATTATTAAATCATAATTATAATATTATATAGTAACACTTATTTTAAACTTTAGATTCGGATAATTAGTGAATGAACAATACTATTAGGCTTAATTACTGGATTGGGAGTATGTCAGGATTTGGAAAGGATGTGCATGCACCATTCATTGCATCAACATCATAGATGACAAATTGAAATTTGAAATACGTTTGTTGAAATAATTACACATCTTTTCTTTTTGGGGAAAATAAGTAATATATCCCGAACTTTGCCTTGGTGTGATTTCCCCACCCCGTACTTGTCCTAGTTTAAAAAAACCTCTAACTTTATTTATTTAAATTTTTTGTACCATATTTTAATTAACAAATAATATTTCTCAAATTAAAACATGTTAAATAGATTTAGTTGGGACAAAAAGATGCATGATTCCCAAAAAAATTGTGTACTTTCTTTGATGATTTAGTAGAACATGGGGCATAAACATCTCAATTTTACATAGTATGAGATATTTATGCAATGTGGACAAGTTTGGGGTGAGGATATCACACCAATACAAAGTATAGGGTATTTTATTTATTTTCCCCTTTCTTTTTTAATGGCGATGTTATTCCGTATAATGTGCGATAGGTATCACCTTACATGTTTATCAAAAAGTTCAAAATTACAGGGTAGGAAGGTATACACAAAAACCTACCTAATTTTATAATTCCCATAAAAGTGTTATATATGACCGAGTTGCTACCAAACATGGAGTAAATTAAAATAAGTTTTGCCACTTTACTAGAGTTTTTCAATACAAGAGACATTTAGGTTGACATTCTTAAATGTCTCCTTAAAAGCTTGATAACTTGTAATATTCGAGTATATTTCAAATGTATAATATTACCAAGTTTTGTAAGGTGATCAAGATATGACACCTAATAACAGTCTAGTTCGAAGTGGAATGGGTGTTAGCTTGATAGTGGAGAAAGTGACCATTGACATTCCGGATAATTAAGCCGGAATTCATGATATCATTCTTATAATTATCATTGACGAGATTTTAATTTGATAAAATTATTGGGAGGTTTGGTTCACCTATCAACCGAAAATTATGAGTTCTGTTTTTCAAAAGAGGTTTTGTGCAATTAAAATTACTCATTGAAGGGTTAATGTCATCAGTGACAAAAGTTTTGGCTCTATTAGCATCTGTAATCTCCTTATAAAGATTATCCTCAATGACATTGAAGATTTTGAAATTCACACGATCTTGAAAGTATTTCTATTGTTTGATCAAAATTTGTAGCTGAAGTTGCATACTAAGTAATAATGATTTATAGTATCAAAATCTGCAAAAGAGAAATTTGAAGGGACCATTATGGCAGATTGGCAACGAACCTTCCACATGAAAAAGGAAATTTTCTTTGGAATATTTCTATTCCAAATGTGTTTAACTGTGTTGTCAGAAGCACATTTACTTCTTATTTCATTATAAGCACTCTTAAAAGTAGGGGTGGGCAAACGGGTCTTGGAACCGCGGTCTGGTCCGGGTAATGGCGGTTCGGGTCCAAAACGGACCGGTTCCATTTTTTGTTTCCATAAAACGGTCCGGGTAGGGTCGGGTAATTTTTTTAAGGAACCGGACCGGTTCCAAAATTAAAAAATAACGGGTACCCGTCCCGGCCCGTTATATATATATATATATATATATATATATATATATATTGTATATTAATTTATTAATAGTTTTGTGATAATCAGTTTTGAACTAGTTTTGTTTCCTGTGCTAGAAGTAGGGTTTTAAATTGAGTTGCAGTAACATCCTTTTGTTTTCAAATTATTGATTAAATGTTTCATAAATATCTTATTACTTTTTATTGTTATTGAATTATTCCTTTCTATGGAATTTAAGTATTTATTAAAGATGATTTTGTTATATATTTTTTTATTATATTGTTATTAAAATATATAAATTGTGTTTACCACCCACCATGTATTTGTCAACTTTGGCTAATACTAAAAATTTAATATAAAAAAAGCAATCACTTTAATATGTGATGTTAGACAACATGTTTAAATACAAATGTTAGAAAATATGTATTTTGACTATGTTGCATATTTTTGGAATTTCTTTAATTGTTTGAAACTTATATACAAGAAATATGGAGTATTGGACTTTTTCGCTTGTGTTATATATGCACCACTATGTTGTTATTTTGAAACTTGCTAATTTCGTGGAACTTCGTGATTTTTTACTAATTTCAAGACATGAGAATAGAAACCGTAAAACCCGGACCGGACCGACCCGTTTCAAATGGGCCGGGTAATTTCCGGTTCCTATTTTGAAAATTGTAATACCCGGACCGGACCGAACCGTACAATGGAACCGGCGGTTCCATTTTATTTTGCATTACCCGCCCCGACTCGGCCCGTGCCCAGCCCTACTTAAAAGAGTAGAATTCTGAGGGAGTGAGACGGTGAGAGTCCAAAATGTCACTATTAGTCAAAAAATGATGCCAGATGCTCATGAATCATGATGTGATTATTAATGTAAACAGGCAGATCATGCTTAATATCATTAAAGAAAGTAGGGTGTGAAGAGTGAAGACGCTTCCCTAATTGTCATTTGAGCTCGTAAAACCTCATCACTTTTCAACCTTCCAAAGTTGGTTGGTCTAATTCCAGTTCGAGAAAGTAGGGCGACAACTCCGGTACCTATTTAAAAAATGGGGGTACTGTACTTATCATGAATTTGATTGGTCCAAATCATTATATGCTTTTTAATTTAAATTTAAATAATTCAACTGTATTATTCTTATTGGTCCATGTGGACAAATGTACGATACATTTGGGGGTACCATAGAATCTACCTACATATAATTATGGAAGTAAACCCGTCAAATAAAGTAATCATCAAGGCCAAACCTTTCCAAATACTACCTCCGTCCCTTTTTATTTAGCCATCTTTGACTTTTCCCGTCAAAGTTGATAAACTTTGATCCCTTAAATCAACCAATATATTTATGTAAAACTTAATAAATTTGTACTTTTATGATAGT